TTGTGATGGAGTTCCTCAGAATGGGAGTACTAAAACTTGCTCTGAAGGAACAGCCCTGTGCATGATTGGTAAGTTTGATGGAAATACGGAGTTCCTCAGAATGGGAGTACTAAATCTTGCTCTGAAGGAACGGCCCTGTGCATGATTGGTAAGTTTGATGGGAATATTCCCAAGTGATAAAACGTGAGTTACGATACAGAAAATCCAAAGTGACCAGCTTTAGATATAGTGTATTATGTGGACTATCTGTGCTGTTATATGCAACGTCCAGTAGGAATTTGTGTATAATACCTGTTTTTTTGTTGAGATAATTATTTGTAGTTTTACTAACTTGGGTAGGCACTGTAGTATCTCAAAATGTTCTCCCTATTTACACTTGGGAATTGACCCCTTACATTGGGGTGACAAAAAAACAATTTTAAAGAAAGGGCTAATACTGTGAGAAAAATTGTTATTCGGTCGAAATGTTGACTGCATTTTTGTCCTATGTACAGCAGTGTTAATGGTAGCTTTATTTTTAAATTTTAAAATGCTGTACCTAATTGTTTGTTATTCAAAAAGATCTTTTGGATCTATATAAGTATAATAGTGTTGTCCGTTGTCTGTCCATGTAACTACTTTGCAGGGTGTGGATGGATCTTTGCCAAAATTGGTATGGAGGTTCATTAGGTCCGTGTGGCGGTACATACAAATTTTCAGTTTTAGTTTTTATGGGCATTTTTGCATTGTTTACCACTAGTTCTCCTGTTGATGGATCTTCACCAGATTTGGTATGGAGCTTTGTTGGATCCACGTGGAGATACATGCAAAGTTGCAGTTTCACATTTTACAGTTTTTATGGGCAATTTTTTACAATTACATATAAGGGAAGCAAAGCAACTTTTCATTAAACACGAATTTACAGTTCGGGGACGAGTAAACGAGCTAATTACATATAAAGTTCTCGATTACCACAATTTTATAAAAGCCTTCCATTAAACAGACTTATACTTTTGATTGTTACTACTAGGGAATTATGTATGTAATAATCAATTTGCTTAAACAATATTAATCTTAAGAGAAGAAAAGTCTGTAGCCATGTTTTCGTTTGTCGTTCACTGTGTAGGCTCTGATGGTAATGCTAAGAACCTTGGAAAGTTTACATCATCTCCAAGTTACGATTCCAGATTTGGTGTCATTCGGTTGAATTACACAGAGGGTGACACTTGTGAAAATGGACAACAGATCAGATCCTTGATTACAATGATGTGTAAACCAGGTAAGAAAACTCACAGTATGTAAAATGCTAACTAACACCCACTTTTCACCTTAAAGAACTTATGAATAAAACTAACTGAAGTGGTCAGATACAGAGTTGCCAACTAACACCCACTTTTCATCTTAAAGAACTTATGAATAAAATTAACTGAAGTGGTCAGATACAGAGTTGCTAACT